ACTAGCTAACAGCTACAATGTAAAGCCAATGTCATAGATTGAATCTAGGCCAATTCAATAGTTATGATTGCATTTTGTATTTGAATTTTAATTTCTTTTTACAAATCCAAATACTTGAAATTTTGAGTATCTATTCTTTGAAAATAGGAGAATCTAATAAAAATATCAAAAAAATAATTTGTAAAATATAAATTAACTAAAATACCCTTGAAACTTTCTAGGGTAAATTGGTCAATTTAGTTTTGAGACTTATTTTTGTAATATTTTTATTAGGTGCGCCTTGATGAGAAGAATGGACGCCTCAAATTTCATGTGATTTGGATTTGTAGGAAAAATTTTAAAATTATATTACGAAATGAGGTCGTGATCGTCAGATCGACCCAAATTCAATCTGAGCCATTGGGCTTGTACTGTAGCTGTTAGCTAGTGGGCTAACCGGTATATATATATGTTCTTGACATCAATAGACTAGGTGTTGGCCTTCCCATCATGCTCGACCTTGTTATCCAACCATGGCTATCCCAATATGATAGGGCTAATGGTCATGGGAAGGGAATTGCACTAAGCCTGATCTAGCACAAGTCGCTCATCCAGAATTCTAGAAGACATTGGGTGGTGATAGAGATAGTGATGTCGTCCACCCACCCAATGCTATATGGTTGTAGATGCTTTCAATCTTCAAATTTAACTTGTCAACTGGCTGTTGGGAGGCAATGTTAACTATGCTTCCCCAATCAGTAATGAAGTTGCGCATCTTTCTGAATGGAGAGTAAGGGTTGGAGTACTAAGGACATCACCTCTCATAGGCTCAATGATTCTTTCATTTCCTAAATGATTAATCTTATCTTTGGAAGCATCATCCACCAAGTTTAAAGCCTTGATTAGACAATGAAAAGCGACTTGATCCAGTACTCTGCACGTGAAGCACTTGATGCGGTTGCTGTGCTTTTCAATGTTGTCATTTCCTTCAGAAGTGAGAGGAGCTTCTTTCTCGGATATGTGTAGGAATGGGGCTGAATTTGAAGAGCTCTCTCTATGTCTTGAAGTGGCTGGTCTGGGGGTAGAGCGCCTCTATTGCCCACTAATTGAACATGTCCATCCTCTGGAGGGATTGTTTTGATCGCCCTAGAAGGTGACTAAACTCTTAATAGGGCTAAATAATGCCGAGCCACTCAGACTTTTGGGTGGAGGAGAATCAACAATGTGCCTTTTTGCAGCCTACTCTTGGCCTTACTTTTGTTCCATCATTAGAGGTTGTTCATTTTCGAATGCCAGTTTCACTAATAAGGTATTGAGGACTTGATTCCTGGCTCCTCTTTGGGCTTTGGATAGATGAGAGCCATAGGTTCTACCCAATTGGGTTGACATGGCTGAACCCAAAGCAAATTCCCAGGGGACAACTTGTTTTGATACTAAAACTGATGTAGGACCGAAGGACTGGGGTCCAAGGGGACTGGTGTCCTAAAGTGTGACGCACATGCTGAGCTTAGAAAGAAAATGTTCGAGTATGATTGGGAATTTTAACTGGGGGTGGGTTAGGAGTTTTAAAGAGTTTTAGGTTCCTACAAAGATTAGGACAATAGGGTTTTTAGCCTTAGGAAGGGTTTTTAATTGAGATAGAATTGGATACTGTGAGCTCTAATTGATGTAGAACTATGGTTTGATTTATAGGGCGGGATTTGGTCAGGTTAAGGCAAGGTTTAGGATAGGTTTTAGGGTATCTAAAAGGGTTAAAGCTTGCTGGAATTGAACAGGTTCAGCAAGATAGGAGAATGATGAGATGGATTTTAGGGTTGAATTAGGGTAGACCGAAGGGTGTAAACTTTAAGTTTGGAGGCTACGTGCGTTGTTATATGGTAAGGGTAGCGTTTGAGCTAATTTACATAGGGTTTAGGGAGGTTTGGCTGGGATTTATGAAAATGTTTGAATGATATACGAATTTATTTGTGAGGAATCTTGGATGTGGTTGTGCCACAAAAGAAGGGTAGAAGAAGGCTCTAACTTGTTGGGAGGACTCTCCCCAATCGTAAGCTAGAGTTCAGGAACCACTCTTTCTACAAAATACTTGAGGAATTTCTCCTCTAAAAAGTGACTGCATATCTCAATTTGAAACAGAGTTTTTTATTTCTTAGCAATTAATACTTTGGCCAATGGCTTATACATCCTATTTAGAGGGTTCCACATCCTAATTTACCCATACTTCCTAATCAAACTAGAAGATAATTCTAAGGGTTCTAGTCCATATAGGAAAAAACATTCATTCCTACAGATACTAAATCTGAGCCCATTGCGAATTAGAGATTATAAATCCCAGCACACTGAGAATGCAAAGTTCTTCACTTACTTTTCCATCAGGCTTTCACCTACAATTTGAAGGTTGAAACATTTTAATTACGAAAAACCCATTGAAATATGGGTTATAGATTTTGAAGAGATATTCAATTTACTCTTTGGAGCTCCCTGACTGAACATCCGGGTGAAAAGTTATGCCTCTGGAAGCAGTTTGCTTCAGTTACCTTGAAATTTTATGTCCCTGTTTTGCTGTTATTTTTAGTAGAAACAGGAGTCAATTATATGAGCAATATGCCAATTGCAATTCTCATTTTCTAAAATAAAATTTTATGTTGAAGTCTGGACTCTATTTCAATGATGATGATGTTCTCAATATGGTTGTTTTCATTCTAAATCTGACTTGGTGATAGCTGGTTTCTTTGAGTTTTTCAGGTTAGGATCAAAGTCTGGGCCATGGTGGTTCTTGTGGAAGGACATTGAGAATCCTGAAGTTGTTACATATTGAGTTGATTTTTTATCTTCACTGGGGGAAGCTAGCAGGTATGCCACTTGCAATAATTGTTAAGTTATTTCTATTGCATTGGTTTGTGGTCCTTTGTTGAATTTCTGATATCATTAAATATCAGATTGTTTCAAAAATTTAATCATCATCATCACGCTCATCATCTGAGCCTTATCCCAACTATTAGGGGTTGGCTACATGAATCCTGCACAAATGTCAGATCATTTAAAAAATTCAATGCAAAAAGAATAATTATGCATCTCAGATTTTTCATCTACCAAGCTTAAGGAGCTTCCACACTTGACACCAAAAACTAGCAGCAAATATAGGAGAATGATAACTACCAGACTAAATGCTATGGAAATGAATTTATCATCCTCTGATTGAGAAATTTGAAACCTATTGTGTAGTACTCGTGAAGGGTGATCTTGCTAAGTCGTATTGAATGGTTGTAACTTGTGTTTCTTGGCATGGTAGTTTGCATGAAATCCAGCTAGATGTTTCCATTCCATGTTGATCGTTGGAATAGAAATGCAACTTAGGGAACTCCACTAATCGACCGTACCTAATTTAGTTCAATGGGTTCTTTTCTATCTGAACTTCACTGTTTTATTTATAGGACGGGGGAACTTTGAGAATAGTTTCAAAAATAGGCGGGGCAATTGAGTGAGTTTTTAGCTCGGATAATTTTTGAAGTCTAAAGACATTGTTAGTTGTGACTCTTGACTGCTCCTGAAAATCTCACCCTTTCAAGCGCAACTAATCTGAGTTTCTTGAATATCAGGTCAGTTCATTCTTTGCCTATTTTCGGTTGCTTTCTACTACGGAAAACCATGCCTCAACTGGTTGTGAAGTCCGTTGAAAGGTATGCAAAACTGTAATGAGTTTTTGATATATAAAGCTGGGTTGTGGATCATTTGACCTCCCAACACTTTATGAGCTAATTTTCATCATAAGTTTAATTTCCCATTGGTTCCAACTCTTTTAGCAAATTTCCTCCATAAATTCTTTTTGAAAGTGTAGAAAGGAAATAACAAAATAATAAAAAGGAGCAAAAGAGCCTTCTATTGCAGATTTCCTCTCAATTATAGGGTCATGTAATAGCCCTAGAAACCTCAGTTTCACATACCACTCAGTGGATTTCATGCCTGGATTTCATGCCTGGATTTCATGCAAACTTGGCATTTCATAAAACACACTGGATTTCATGCAAACACACTGTGTTTCTTGGCATGGTAGAAACTTGTGTTTCTTGGCATGGATTTCATGCCCTAGAAATACATACCTCAGTGTGTTTTATCTTAATATATTTAATATACCTCTGTGTTTTATTTTTATGGGATTTATTTGATTAGTATCCTTTTTGTCAGTATTTGAACTTCCAAGTATTTAATATACCTCTGTGTTTTATGTTTTCAGCCTATTGACTTGGTGGTTTGATTGCAATGGGTGCATGTCTAGTTTTAAGGGTTCAACCAACCCACCTGAGGATAAAACAAAGGTTATTTTTTTGCATTATAATTGTTCTAGACCTAAAAATTTACTTTTTTATTTTATTTATTGTGACTTTTCTGTACAACTATTAATATTTATATTTTAAGGACTTCTTTGGAAATTTTGTTTGATTCGTTGTTTTATTTCTCATTTTTTAGAGTTCCTGTCAGTTCTGAATTTCTTCTACATTAGTCAAACTTGCTGAATCAAATGATGACCTGACATAGCAAATCATCATCGTTTTGGGTAAGTAACTAGGTCAGTCAAAAAGTCGCCTGGGTTTGGATGACTAATAGGCTGTTCGAGTTGGAGTGCTTCACGAGTCAATTTTGGCATGGTTAGAAACAGGAGTATGGGTAGCATCATTTCCTGATATTTTCTGTAAACAAATTTATAAGGTTATTGCGAGAACCACAGTTCGTGTTTCTGCACAATTGTTAGGCATGACTTTTCTAAATATAATATTTTCCAATTTCTGGAATTTTCAGGCATACGATATTGAATACTTGTAAGCTTTAAGGGTTAAGCCAATGAGCCTTGAGCAATATTTTACAGCTTGACAAACCAAGCCAAGCAGAGCAGGATAGCACATTAAGAAAGCTGAGGCAAGCTTGTCTCATGCTTGGCTTGAGCTTGTTTAATATACTATAGGCCTGAAAATTAATTTTTTTGGAATATATCATCGTATCTGAAATTAATATACTCTGGATAACATTAATCTATTCGTCGTTTGGTACATAGATTGTCTTATATGTAATATTATTTTGTTATTTAACTTTTTTGGTGATTTTCATACATTTTTTGCTATTTCTGGCTAAAAACATGTGGTCTTTGGCAAATTGCTCAGAAAAGTAAAAACGACCTTTCAAAAAGATGTACTTATATCTTGCCTATAATTATTTGAGATAACTTTATAATGCACAATGCCAAAGAACAATTAATTCATTATCAGGACTAACTTTATTGAAAATAGTGAATTATTAGTGGTAATGACTACATCCAAACATGCCCCTATGATTCTAGATGGACCTGTTTGGATGACAGTTTTTTTTATTAGCAGTAGGCAATTTTGCCTGAAGATCATATATTTTGCATAATATTACTTTCTTAGCTGTTTAATTTGTCTCTACGTTTGTATAAATATTTTATCGGTTGGTTATTTGGATTTATTATTTGGTCTATTTATTCCCCTTTTTATCATCTCCTTTTTACATCTTGAAAACTAGATCCAACTTACGACCACAAAATTCTCTATCTATATCCATTATTCATAAATCTCTCTTTCTCTCTCTCTCTAGCTAATACCTTTAAACTCGCTCTCTTTTGGCTTTGGCCTATGTCATCTCTCATCTCAATTGCACTCTTCTCTCTCTCTTCCTTGGGCACTGTGAAGAAGACTTACCTCTCCCTCACTAAGTAGAAAGTGGAAGCTTCAACCAGTTCCTCACTGTAAGAAGCTATGATCCACATTTCCTTGCCTGAAAAACCAGAAGTTGAAGGAAAATGAGTGGCAATTGCGATGAGTTTCAGCAATTTTCATCTCAACTGGTTTGTCCTGCGGTCAAGTTTGATGGTTAATGGAAACCAGAACCACAATGAGACGGAGAGAACTCTGTGTAACAGGAGAGGAGAATCAAGGAAGTGGGCGAAAAGTATAAGGAGAATAGAGGAGAGTATTGTCGCCTGGAATCAGTTCTCAAAGAACTGATTGTAGTAGTTTTCCTGGAGTGGCAAAGCTTGATTAATAAATTAGGAAGGGACTGCCCTTCAAAGGAGAAAAGTGAAGAAAATTCATCAAAACTAATGAAAATGGGTAGAATACTCTCGTATATCTTTCCTAGAATCCTCCAGCAGAAGCCACTAACAAACATGATTGCCTCCATTTTAGGTGGATTTGAAGCGAAAAGGGGCTGGACTAACTGGTGAAAAGTACAGGGTAGAGTATGATTCGAGGATTTATCACTAGTTTCCTGAGTCCTCTGTTTTGAAGGTTTCTTTCCACTTGTCTTTTTACGGTGAGTTGCAGAGAGATAGTGAGAGAGGGAGGGGTATTAAGAGAATGAGAGGAGAGACTTGCACAAGAGAGAGAGGTTTCTTACCACTTGTCTTTTTACGGTGAGTTGCAGAGAGATACTGAGAGAGTGAGGGGTATTAAGAGAATGAGAGGAGAGATTTGCGAGAGAGAGAGAGAGAGAGAGAGAGAGAGAGAGAACAACGACGACGTAGAAGTAAGTATTAATTTAGTAAGTAAAGTAAAAGTAAATTAAGTTAAGTAGAAGTAGTAGTTAGTATAGTAA